GTAAAAATCACTCCATAATGTCGACATTGCAAGCTGGCCATCAGGGGCTCCTAATGTCTGCAGGCTCTCGGAGAACAGATCCAATCCTCTAAGTACCATAAACCTATTACCTACATTAGGTGGTAATTGGAATCCATTTATTCATGCTTTTTAAGTTCTTAAGGGGTCCTGCTGTTGTACACCCGTAACACATTAATTTCAACAAACAGTTTATCTTTTTTTAGAAGAAGGAAAAAAACCTTGAAAAGACCGCGGTAGGCATTCTATGGGGGACAATTAATACTCCATGATGAATGAAAGAATTATGTACAGAATAAAAATGTGAATTCATTAGCCTATCATACCAGAGGATTTAATCCAGGTTTGTAGGCAACATTGCTCTCCATGTCCACCTCTCCTGGCAATAAATCCTAAAGGGCCATTACTGTGATTTATTTGATAAATCTTTATTTGAGAGCTGTATCAGGAGGAACAGTGTTCACAACTCAACCCCGTGACACGGAATCAGTTTTGGCGCTTCTGCAAAACAAGTAGGATGAAGCCAAACTTGATAAACAAATAAGGAGATGCATTCGGATGTCAGCTCATTAATACTTATTTATGTATGAAATTTCTTACTCTTCCTTTACCGTAATGTCCCAAGGCAGGTTACAACCACGACATGCACAACTAGAAAACAATTCTGACCATAAAACAAGGTAAAAGCAATAAAGAAATCAGTTCCATGTATAAAACAATTCAAATCAATTGCATATATAAAAACAGTTAAAACAGGTCCAATACAGATGCAGGCTGGGATAAAGATCTCCACTTAAAAGCTTTGTTGGAAACGGACGGTCTTGAGTTGCCAAAAGGCAACAGAGACAGGACTTGTCTAATGGGAGGGAATCCCCAAAGGGGAGGTACAACCATGCAAAAGCCCCGATTCATATGCCATATGGAACGGACCTCCCGATAACATGCTATCTATCTGCAGGAGGCCCTATTCTGCAGAGCACAGTGATCAGTTGGATATCTAAAGGATGACACAATATTTTAGGTAAAGAATCTTTTAGGTGTGCCCAAGCTGTATAGGGCTTTGTACACCGGTGACAGCACCTTGAACTTAGCTTGGTATCTAACTGGCAGTCCTATTCCTGTATCGTATGGAATGGTCCTTCTCATCGGATGGTATCGGCAAGAGGCCCTCTCCTGCAGAGCACAGTATATCACACGTACAACTCTAACATGCTGAGTCCCCAAACCAGGGTACGAGTATTCCCGGCCGTGCTCCTGTAGAGGTCATGTGACCCACGCGAGATCATGTAGCCCAAAAGATACACTTTTTTCAGGGCCATACATTTTGGGGTACCATGCAAGATCGCTGCCCCGAAAAAATGTGCTTTTGGGGGAGGCCAGATCTTGGTGCAAAACTGTGCAAGATCATAACACCCAAAATGGCTGGTTACTGCCAGCTGGACTTAACTGTTATTCCCAAGCATGCTGCCTTTCACATTTATAGTATGGATCCCAAATGATTGGACAAATGAGTCAGGCTGTACACACAGAGATACCTTTAAAGCACATTTTGCACCTCAAAGAATTCTGGGCATGGTAGTTAGGCATTGCTGGGAATTAGGTGAACTAGTGCCCAGAATACTTTCAGAGAAAAAATGGGGTTCAAATGTGAAGTCCAGAGGAGAAATGACCGCTGGGAGGAGCGAAGAGAAAAGAAAGGCCATGGTACACCTGCAACAGCACAAGCAGACGCCTTCATCTGCCCCTGCTGCAACAAAACATGTCTCTCCTTTATCAGTCTCTACAGCCACAGCAGGCGCTGTAACCTTCCAACAGTTTGACTTCACTTCCAAAGGTACACTTCGCCATTGTCTCCCAAGACAGACGGATGCCAGCTGTTCAAGAGTATGGAGTAAAGTGAGAGCGGTTAAAGAAAATAAATGAGTGATTTTCCTAAGGTCTGTATGATGGTTTGGTGACCATAGTCAACAGATGATCCTAGCTAGTCAATAAATTTACATAGCAGAGCCCCCACTGACAAATGTGGAACTTGGGATATATTTCTGAAACCAACATCAGGTGAAGGTGAACGGAAGCAAAAGCATGTTCAAAGCTATTTATTTTATGCCAGGAGTTCCAGAAAGGTGGGGGAGGCTGGCATGCAGGAAACAGGAATTTGACTGGGTCACCTCCTACATGAATACACTATGACACCTCCCTTAGCTGATGGAATAACTCTTGAGAGGTGAAAACCTGAGGAGTTACTTTTCTTCCTGATAGATTGCTTTTGGAATTATGAGGGAAAGAGACTTGGTTGATGGTGGGGCGAAAGAGCCTATGGCACATAATGATTTCTTCAAAGGAGATTATGAATATTATCAGCTGTCCTCTCAAATCAGAACCGATATAGCATCATCATTCCCAAGTTCTTTATTCACTTTCAAATATGTTTGTTGTTGTTGTTTAGTCGTTTAGTCGTGTCCGACTCTTCGTGACCCCATGGACCAGAGCACGCCAGGCACTCCTGTCTTCCACTGCCCCCGCAATTTGGTCAAACTCATGCTGGTAGCTTCGAGAACACTATCCAACCATCTCGTCCTCTGTCGTCCCTTCTCCTTGTGCCCTCCATCTTTCCCAACATCGGGGTCTTTTCCAGGGAGTCTTCTCTTCTCATGAGGTGGCTAAAGTATTGGAGCCTCAGCTTCACAATCTGTCCTTCCAGTGAGCACTCAGGGCTGATTTCCTTCAGAATGGATAGGTTTGATCTTCTTACAGTCCATGGGACTCTCAAGAGTCTCCTCCAGCACCATCAAATATGTTTATCACCCACCAAACCAGACCTTGACTTTCATATTGTCACATAACATCTTTTTTATACTATCTACTTCCCACCTGTTCTGGAGCATCCAAGGACAAGAGAGTCACTCATAATCCTATCGTATATTTGTTTTCTGGCCTAGAAATGTTTACTTCCTGTTCAGTCTCTGCAAAATAGCTAGATCCAGAAACATCAGACTTTTGCAGGGTTTCAGTTACACCTCATATTGCAAACTTTGGCTTACATTCAGAGAATCCCATTCTTCATTGTTTGAAAACAAACAAGACTCTGCCTGGAGGGTGCAGACATAGACACCCATGAAAGCGAAGACTCGACTGCTAATAGCTTTATCTAGTTCTTCTACTGAAGAGCCAGAGAATGGACTGAATGCTTAGTTTAGTTCCATTTCCAACATGGAATACACAAATGGGTGACATGCTAGGAATCTCAACTATACATCTTGAAGCTCGCTGAAGGAAGGGTAATGTGGCAAATGTAGAGTCTGAATCCAGAGAAAGTTATTTCTTCTTTCTCTTCCAAGTATGCCATCAATTCCACTAACTCCCAGCCCATTCAATGCTATGCCATTTTCAAGCTGCACATAACTTTGAATTTGCAGCATAGAATCACAGAATTACAGAATTGTAGAGTTGGAAGGGACCCTGAGAGTCATCTAGTCCATCCCTCTGCAATGCAGGAATCTCAACATACGGTCCCCTGCCCAAATTGAAACCATACTGCACCCCAGAGCTGTGGGATGCAGGGGACATAATTGGAATAATTGTACAACAGGACTTATTTCTTAATGCATATGCTTGCCCTGTAAGATGGCGCTTCAAATTCAGTGTAATGGTTTCTCCAGTTGTTAATCAGGGTTGCACAGTGATTGAACAAATCATATAAATTCACTTATTTGGCTCCGTTTGTGGAATGCTCTCCAGAGGGAGGTTTACCTGGCGCCATCATTATACACCTTTAGGTCCCAGGTGACCTTCAACCAGGCCTTTGACCAATTGACATCTGTTGCCCTTTTAAATATGCTGTGGGAGGGAGGGGACTATAGGTTTGGCTTTGTTTTTATTATGTATTTTGTGCTTTTTACGGTGTAATTGTATGCTGCAAACTGCCCTGAGATCCACCAGTGAATTTAATAAATAAAACGAATAATAATAAACAATGATTTGTCCAGAATGACAAGTGACCTGGATGAAAAGTTCAAAAGTACGAATGATATAAAACCACCGACTGCCCCTTACTTTATCCAGAATGGCAAGTGACCTGAAAGGCATCCCAGGAGAAAGAAATGAGCCCGGGTTCAACAAGACTTACTCCCAGGTCAGGAGGCACAGGAGCCAGGGTTGGGCAACCTGCATAGGTGGAAAGCTATTCTGAAAAGTTTCTTCTGTGATGTGCAATGCATTTTAGTCCCAGCAGCAACCAACACAAACTATTTAGCCCCAGGGACATTAATAATAATAATAATAGAATCCTAGAGTTGGAAGGGACCACAAGGACCATCTAGTCCAATCCTCTGCAATGAAGGAAACTTTTGCCCAATTTGGGGCTTAAATTATGAGTCTCATACTCTACCAACTGAGCTAGGCTGAATTGTTGTTGTTGTTGTTGTTTATACCTCGCCCATGTGGCTGGGTTTCCCTAGCCACTCTGGGCAGTTTACAACACATAAAAAATCGTAAAAACTTTTTTTTTTTTGTTAGCCCCAAAAATGGAAAACAAGCTGACAGAAAATGCAACTTAAGCTTGCAGACTTAACATATAGAATAAGAAAACAATAAGAACATACATTCAGAGAAGAAATAATTGTGTACACCTGAAAACGTTGGCAGCAGTAAGCTAAATCCAAGTGTAAATCAGTTTTGATGGATACAATAATGGAATATTGAATGGTTTGGTTTTTGTATAGTATACAGGGATTTATGATATGCAAAATGAACCATGGAAAGAGAAGGGAAATCACTGATAATTTAAGGATGTTAAAATGAGCATTTTAAAATGTAAAACAGAAAATTTAATAAAAATTATTTTTATGCATGTGTGTTTGTGTGTAGTAAAATATGGGGCATTAAAAAATTGAAGAAGAAGCCTAGACAACAAGGTGGTGGAGAAAGATGAGGGGAAGCATGCCCAGAGCAGCGCCTGGATCCCTGGAAAGATCTCTAGCTCGATGCGCGCTGCAGGGTCGACGTGGCTCGCGCCCGCCCCGCCCGCGCAAGGCAGAGGCAGCGCCAGCGCCGCCAGCTCCCGCTTTGAAAGGCCGCTTCCCAGCCGCGGCGAGCGGCGCCAGGCGGAGCCGCAAGAGCGCCGAGCAACCAACCCGACGCTCGATGAGCTCGGCGCTCCCCGCCATTTTGGCCGCTTGAGGGGGAGCGGCGGCGGGGGCCGGAGCGACGGTGTCCGGCTGCCTGCGCTCCTCTTCCCCGCCGCGGCCCCATCCAGCCCGCCTCTGCGGGTTCAGGTACTGGCATGGGCGCGGGGGGAGGAGGCGGCGGCGGGGGGGGGGAGGGAGGAAGGGCCGCTTCCGGGAGGGCATCTCCCGAAGTTGGGCGGGGAAGGGAGAGGCTGAGCCACGCCTGGCTGGGGGGGGGGGGGGTGGTCCGCGGCTGTTTCTTTTTGCGGCTTCCTCCTCCCTCGGCTGCCCTACAATCACAGAAGGGACCTCCAAGGGTCATCTAGTCCAACCCCCCTGCGATCCTTCCCACCGCCGACCCTGGGTGGCCTCGAGCCACCAACCTTCTGCTTTAATAGCCGGAGGCTGTCCTCCCTTTCCACACCTTTTATTTGCAAACAACATTTGTTTTTAACCATTTAAAAACATTGCATTTTTAGGCTTCAGCTCTGAAAGAAACAGAAGCGATTTCTCTCTTTATTTAAAAAGTGTGAATCGCGTTTATTTTGTTTGCTTGAAGGTGTAAAAGGATTTAGCATTGCATTTTCAGGCTTACGCTCCGAAGGAAACGGAAACAAAACGGGTCTTGCTTTGGCGCGGCTCCTCGCCCTCCCTGCAGTCCTGTTTCCCATGGAGAGATTTGGAAAGGGGGAGAAGGGCAGGAGGGGTGGGTGGCCTCAGTCTGGAGATGGTTTCGCCAGCTGCTACCTCTGTGAACCTTCCCTTTCGGGCTTAAAGGGAGGTTGGCTGATCAGGAATTCTAGGTTTAGTGTTGGGGTTAGGAAAGTAGAATCATAAAATTGTTGAGTTGGAAGGGATCCCTAGGGTCATCTAGTCCAACCCCCAGGTGTGCTCAAGCTATCAACCTGGCAAACAGGTGCACTGACCCATAAGTAGCTTACGCTCAGAGTAACTTGCGCAAAATGGCTTTGGGCTGCCCCTTCTCTTGGGAAGAGTTGAGGAAGCTGCTTTCAGTTGCCTTAATGAAAAGGTAGCAAATTGGTTTGTGATTTGTTGTTGTGTTCTTACTGTCTGAGTGGGAAAGTGATGGTCATAATCATCATCATCATCATTCTTATTATTATTATTGCCTTGGCACCAAAATAACTTGGCTGGCTGTGCAAGGTTGGCCGCGGAGACACCATTTGCCGCTTTGCCTCAGGCAGCAAAATGTCTTGGGCCAGTTCTGCAGCCACTTCTGAAACCAGGGTGCATATTGCCTTCTATGCAATACTTAACATTTCCTGTTTCATAATTTCATGACAGAAATTCATTCCCTTTACAAAGCTGGTGCAAGGAGAGGAAACTGCAAAGCGCATAAAAGATGGTGCTTTTCTCCTGTGGATTGAGAAGACCAAGAGCACCACCCCTTGCCTGTCTGCATGGCAGCGGCAAGGCAAACCAACTAGTTTTTTTAAAATTTTGTGAGGGGTGGAGAGACCGTTGGGCGGCTCTGTCCTCCACCTGTCTGCCACATGGCAGCAATGTCCTCTCTGCAAAAGTGGAGTGGGTTCCTGGGCTCCATCCTTCAGCCACCCATTCAGGTGTGCCTTTTTTATTTCTGAAAGGGTTGGAGGAGAATGGGACTTTCATTCCCTCACCCTTGCTGTATGGCAGCTGCAGGAGGCAAGGCCAGATGTCAAAGGAGAAGTGGGCTAGTCAGAGTGGATTGGGGTGGTGCGGTGGGCAGGAGACCAGCAGGTAGCACCAATAAGCTTCTCTTTCTTTGAAAAGATGGGATGCAAAGCAGCGGCAGATACGCTTACAAGTCACTGTTGTTGCGTAACTGGGTTTGCACCACCGCCAGCTGATTCTGAATGGGCCACACACATTTTGCGGGTTGAAGAAGTGGGGAGGAAAACAACCTGTTTCCTTCCAGTTATTTTCCTGCCTCCTTCCACCCATACATTTGCCCTGAAATTTCTACCTGAAATCACAGTGCCAAAGCAAGATTGGAGCAAAAAAATGGGGGGAGGGGGGATGCGGAGATAAGAGGAAAGCAGTTTGCTCCTTTGCAAAGTGTGTGTGACCCACCAGGATCCATTAGTGTTGGAGGAATGAAATGCCTCTGATCTCCCTGGGACACACACACACACACACACACACACCCCGCATTCACATGAAGTCATGGTTTGGCATTGCATGACCTGTGAACCAGTCCATTGTGCCTTTTAACAACACTGTAACAGAATGAAATATGCCCACTGCTACATATTATTGTTGGGAAAAGGCACATTCTTTTTGGCTGTTAAAGCAAGGAATTGTGTTGTGGTTGATGTGTTTGGCAATCCTAGAGCCATTTCTGCCTCGCCACAGTATAGCCACGCCAGATTGAGACATTCCTGTAACAATGGAAGGACAATAAGAACTATGTGTGTATAAAACTCTTAATTTGATGGTGGAGGATATTTTGGTGAAAACATTCGTTCCAAATTACCTTTAATTGAACATGCATATTCAAGATTTGCTTGCAGCCCAATCCTAGACACTAAGAAATGACCTGCAAGATTGAGTTCTATGAGAATTACTTTCAAATAAGTAAGAATTGTAGCCCAGTATTGATTTCTTTGCCCTTCTGCACTTTACACCACCCATTTGTACTTACATTTACATTCTTACCAACGACTGTTATATGTATATGGGAAAACATTGGGACAATAAGTTTTATGTTGCCACTAAGCTGCATGCCTCTCTGTTTTCTTTAGAACGTTTTTTTTTTAATCAAAACATTTTCTTGCCACTTTTCTGGGCAAATGCCCATCCAAAACAGCTTACGACAAAAGCAACAAAAGACAAAAATAAACAATATTTTTTTAAAAACCTGCTGAAATTGTATCTCTGTTTAAACATGTTTCACCTGTTGCTGAGAGACAGAACACAGAGTATACAAAGAGCTAGCATCCTCTTCATAGAATCTTAAAATTGTAAAGTTGGAAGGGACCCCCTTCAATGCAGGAATCTCAGTTAAAGCATCCATGACATATGGCCATCCAACCTCTGCTTAAAAATCTCCAGCAAAAGAGAGTACACCAACTGCCGAAGAAGTCCATTCCACTGTCAAACAGCTCTTACTGTCAGAAGGTTCTTCTTGATGTTTAGTCAGAATCTCCTTTTTTGTAACTTGAATCCATTGGTTTGGGTCCTACCCTCTGGAGCAGGAGAAAACAAGTTTGATCCACCTTCCACGACGGCCCTTTAGATATCTGATGCAGCAGCAGCAAAAAAAGCTAATGCTATTCTAGGCTGCATCAACAGAACTATAGCGTCCAGATAAAGGGAAGCAATAGCGCCACTCTATTCTGCCATGGTCAGACCACATCTGGAATACTGTGTCCAATTCTGGACACCACAATTTTAAGAAGGACGTTGACAAGTTAGAATGTGTGTGACCAAGGAGGGTGACCGAGACGTGTTGTCAACAGGTGGTGCAGAGTTTGTGCAGAGTCCCTGCCACAGAAGTGATTTGTGGTCAACTCTCACAGGGAAAAGTGTTCATTCCTATGCCAGACACCTTTTCCATAATAAATTAGTTGACCCTTCTCGGGCAAGGGTCATCGGTCAGTGGTAGAGCACCTGCTTTGCTTGCAAAAGGGCCCAGATTACATTTCTAGATAGGACTGGAAGAGAACCCTTTCTGAAACCCTGAAAACCTGCTGCCAGTGTAGACATTGCCAAGCTAGATGTACCAACGGTCTGACTCAATGTAAGGCAACTTCGTATGTTCCTATCACACACATCTCCAAACATGTATTCTCTACTTTTTATAAAAAATATGTGCTCAGACTTGGAAGATTTTTAACCCTCCATCCAAGATGACAGGTATTCTGATTTTTTTCAATCTGAAGCTATGCCCAGTTTGGCACATACAGAGAATTTATCCGTTTTTGAAGAGCTGCTAGCCAGACTTCAGTAAGCATGCTTGTGACAAGGACAAAGGAGACAAGTGAAAAAAGATTTTGGGGGGAGAGTAAATGTGTTGATACACTTTCTATTAAGATGTGTGCTCATTTCAAGAGATCCATTATTTAATCATCAATGGCAGCTGTCAGTTTAACACATCCACAAATGAAAAGGTCGGTGTTCCTTGTTTTTGAAAGAGCAGCTGAGGATTTGTTTGGCAACTTGTGATCTTAACTCTGGAAAAAAGAAAGGAAGAAAGCATGTGGAGGAATAAGTCGAGCGGTAATGCATTCAGTTTGTAAGCATTGTGATGTCAACACACGCTGAAGACTCACACAAGCTTTGTGCAGTAGCAATCTCCACTTGGATCCATTTTATTGGGGGAAGGCTCTCTCAGGTGGAGAAACACTTACCACAAAGTAAAGAACTATAAAGGGGATACTTGCATAGATAATCCCCAAATGCATAAAGTTGCATTTTACTAGTATATCCAGGCAAATGAAAATTAATTACTAACTCCTAGCTAAGCTGCTGATAGGAACTTTTAGAGAGCATTGACTGAACAGTATGTTTAGCCTGAAGGTGCAAAACAGAAAAAAACTTGTCGTGTAACACAGTTAGCAATTACTGTATTAAGTGTTTTGAAGCAGTGTATGACTGACAAATCTAGCTAGGCATTCTGTTTAATAAATACATTTTTATTGCATATATAGTTCCTTACTTTCTAACCTGTTTCTTTTACTCAAAACACCTTGCAAGAAAGGTAGCATACAACAATGTTTAAATTCTCATTGTTTATCCTGTACTCACAGATGGGAATATGCACATTGTTTTAGTTTCACAAATGAAGATTGCCATTTTATAGTAGCAGAGCAGGGAACTGTCTCTATCCAGCATCTATGGAGGCACATGGGATGCCCCTGCTGCAAGTGTATTTAACAGAAAGAGGCTGATGCAGCAAAAATGATAACTGATCTTAAATCTACCCCCACCTTTTTAGTGAATCCAAGGTGGATGTGCTTCAATTTCAAGAAGAGGGAAGTGTGCTGGTTTCACATTTGTTGAAGCTTGATTTTTAAGCAGCTGTGTCGAGTTTAGCCAACAAAATTGGGAATTGTCAAATTTCTTATCTATAGTCAGTCTTATGTTAATTCTGCTGCCTCTGTAGAATCAGGATCAGAGATTTTAGTCATATAGAAAGTATGGTGCATTCTTGTCTACTTGGTTGGCATGGTGGTTTCCATGATAATGGAATTTTAAAAATCCTTCTACAAGGATATCAAGATTGATTCAATTAAAATTAAAATTGTGCTTGGAATATGGGACTGTCGTGGTTTTCATTTGAATGCTGTCTTGATTCAGTCTAAACTTCTTTCTTCCAGCTTTCAAACAAACATCAAAGATTTCATCGCCACCGAATGCAGCAAGCTAGGAATCATGGATCTGAAATTCAATTCCTCTCGGAAGTATGTTTCTATCAGCGTACCTTCAAAGTCCCAAGCTATGTCGCCACACATCAAATCAGTAGATGATGTAGTTGTCCTTGGCATTAATCTCAGCAAATTTAACAAGGCTACCCAGTTTTTCATTTGCGTTTCTGGAGTCTTTCTGTTTTATCTTATTTATGGATATCTGCAGGTAAGTGTTGTAATTCACTGCTTGTGGTAACGTTTGTGTTTTCTTCTTCAGAATAATGTATTACTCAATAAAATTCTATTGTAATCTGTAGTGGCTTGATGCAGATATGAGGGCTTATTTTCTACTGTTACTTAATTTATTACCTGTCCGTCACCCAAAGGTTTCATGATAGGCCACAGCAGTTTGGAAATGCAATTATCGAAAACAGCTTAAAACAAATTACAGCCACAAGAATAGGGTGGGTCCTAAAAATGTCGAAGTGTCAGTTGTCAAAGTCCAGGGTGAAAAGGTGTGTCTTCATCATACAACAGAAAGCATATAAACAATATAGTGGAGATGCCACATGCAACACCTCTTCGGGGAGGCAGTTCCACAATTTAAGCGCTGTCGGTGAGAATGTCCTCTCCCACACTACCATTATCCTGAATGTCTTGAGGGCAGTAGAACCACGAGATGTCTTCCATCTCGCCAGACCCAGATCTTAGCTGCAGCTGGCAAGACACAACTTGGGACCTGTTGTCCTGTCTTCACATACACAGTGATGGGGTCTGAACCGGCTGTGAGTAACAAGAATTAGATTTGGGAATCTTGGTGTATGGAATGGAAACATCAGATTGGTGTGCAGCTTCAGTAAAATCTCCCAAGGCCATGTCTGAGATTATTAGAGAAAGAGAAACACCAGTAAAATGTGCCCATAGCAGATTGATATGAATAACACACTGAATAATGTGTACGGTTCTGGTTGCCACATCTCTAAAAAATATACCATCGGCTGGAAAAGGTGCAGCAAAGGGTAATGAAAATAATAATAATAATAATAATTTATTACTTTTACCTCACCCATTTAACTGGGTTGCCCCTGCCACTCTGGGCAGCTTCCAACAGAATATAAAAGAACACACGAGACCTAAGACATTAAAAGCTTCCTGCCTTCAAAGGTCATATAATTGGTTTTTGATATCTGATGCGAGGGCATTCCACAGGGCGGGCGCCACTACTAAGAAGGCCCTCAGATGGCCTTACCATCTTAGTAAAGTTTAAAATGATTTAATGCTTTGTAGTTGAGGGGGGAAATATGACTAGGGGATGGAGGGCATGATAGGAGTTTATAATGTTATGAATGGTGTAGAGGAAGGACAAAGAAAATTCTCTTATAACACTAGAAATTGGGATCACCCAAGGAAACAGGTTGATAAGAGTCAGGACGGACTAAACAAAGAACACAATGCATAAATCATACAGGGAATTCTCTACAGCAATGATAGCAATGGCCAATAACTTAGAAGTCCAGAGACATAAATGGCTACATGATAGCCAAATGGAAGCTCCATGTTAGGAAGCAGTATGAATCTAGATGCTGAGGAGCAAAGTGTTGAGAGTGGGCCTTATTTGTCTCATCAGTCTTAGAAATGGAAGGCAGGCCTAGATGGACTCATCAAGTAGGGTTTTCCTTATGTACTTATGTGATGCTGGAGTCTTGCACAAGAGATGAGTAGATGAAGGGGACGTTTCTCTGAATTTAAAGCCCACCCAATGTGCCAACAAAATAGGATATCTAATGCTGGTGCTTGCTTTTCACACTGATGTTCAGAAACAAAGTACATGAATTAAAAACAAGTCAGAAAGAGTATTCAAATTAATACCAAGTCTTAACTTGACAGGATGGTTAGCCAGACTCATTAAGCTAATGATAATTCTGTTCAATATTTTTAAGTTGGGAGGCAAAAAAATGTTAAAGCAAATTTCTGAGTAAGTCTAATTTTAAAAGTTAAAAATATACAACATGGTCACATAGGCAATGTTTTAAATATAATGTTTCTCTGTTTTCCCTCTTCCAGGAACTGATATTTTCAGTGGAAGGTTTTAAACCCTTTGGGTGGTATCTTACATTAGTGCAATTTGGGTTTTATTCCATTTTTGGACTCATAGAACTACAGCTTATTCAGGACAAAAGGAGACGGTATGATATTATCTATATAGTCTTACTTTTTCAGATTATTATGTGGGTTTAATTTGATTAACTATTTAACCAGAAATTTGTGAAGTTGAATTGGGGCAGGAATCAGTCAAATATTATTTCTAAACATTTTGTCTGATTTAGTGAGATTCCATGACAATGCCCATGGTGTTGACTTGTGGAGCTGTCAGCCCAATGAAAAATGAGCATTGAATTTCTCTCCCTCCCCTCTTAATGTGGGGAGGTGCTTTAAGATCACTTAATTGGCACAAATTTAAAAATTAATAAAAACATAGCAACAGATGCATACATTTCTCGTTTATTTTATACTGAAAAAGAGAATCATTTTTCTTTGTGGCTTTTATAATCTGTTCACATCACATGCTAGATGTCAGCTGATTCCCGAGTTTCTGAAATATTTGAGTCGTGTTACAATGGAAACTCCTGCAAAAAGGCTAGGGTCCAACGGACTGTATGGGGAGCTTCCATGCATGAAGCAGACCTTACTGATCATAGATCTCCCATCCAGTAACTTCTAAGAAGTTACTCCTGAAATCTGGAAGACCTGTAAGAGCAGCCTTCCAGTTCAATCCAAAGGCCGCTCATAAAAGAATGTGGGCTGTTCATATCCCAACTCTTCTTTGGGCATTAAATTTTTTTTCTAGGGCTGTATAATATACAGAGTTCAGGGGTTTGAGGTTTTATATTATCTGAACCTACAGGAAAGTCAATATTCTCAGGACAGTTATTTTGGATTAATCCCACTGATTGGTACAGAATATGTTGTATTCTGCATGTCTGTGTAGGGCAATGAATGAAAGGCATGAAATATCATGCTTTTATATCTTCCGTTGTAAAACAGAATAAATCGCCAACATAGTGGCAGTAAATGATAATACAGTAGTTAAGTTTTCTGATTTATTATATCTAATTAAATAAAAAATAAATTCAGATTTCAGCACTATTTTGAATTCCATTAAAAGTCACCAGTTTGATTAATAATCTTTACTTGCCACAATATTAAAGCCTCTCTTTTAGTGTTGACATTTGCTCCCCAATACAGAGCTTCATTTATATTTTCCAGGATCCCAGGCAAAACCTACATGATAATAGCTTTTCTAACAGTGGGGACAATGGGTTTATCAAATACCTCCTTAGGATATCTGAATTATCCTACACAAGTAATCTTCAAGTGCTGTAAACTGATCCCAGTTATGATAGGAGGAGTCTTTATACAAGGTATGCCTTATTCTTGCTATTGAATGCTATTCATTTCAGAAAATAAACTTGTAAAGACCCAGCAGTGGTTTATTCCCTAAACCCTCTCTATCCATTGCCTCCCTATAGAGGTCTTAAGTTACTTTGAAATCCTGGATTGATTTTGAATTTGAGTCAATAACCAAAATGAATCAAAACAAAACTGCAAAGGAGGCTAGAAGCAGCTTGTAGGATGGAGAATCTTAGAATGTGATTGGGAAAGTATTTTTATGCATTCCTGATTTAGACTGTCCAAAATGTAAATAGCTGGTAATTGAGGCAGAATTATTATCTGAACTTGCATTGAGTGTCTCTTGAGACCTATAGTCCTCCATTACACTCTCTCTCTCTCTCTCTCTCACACACACACACACACCGTAGTTAACACTGCAGGGTTGAGTCTTGCTTTTGGGGAGGCTCGTGGTGGTGGCTTCACTTTGAAAAAGTTTGACATTTCTTGCCTGAGCCTAGAATAATTTATCTACTAACTCCATTCATGAAATCCCCAAGGTGCTACTGCTTTCATTGGATGGAGAGTGGCTCACTTATATGGGTTATTTTTACTCTATGAGAAACCTAGGAAAACCGCCTTTGGAATTGGCATTCTGCTGCTTTCAGCGTAGCAGGATAGTTTTTTTTTAAACAGCTAGGAACAGTTGTAATAATTGTTGGTTTACTTAATGATAAAGAAGTTTGATTTCAGAGATTGATTTCAGACTTGAAATCCTCTTTACCTGTTAAACTAAACATTCTAGGCTCAACACTTCTTAATACCTTTGAAGCGTCTAGAATGGGAGGTGAAACATACCGCCTGCAAAATTCCAGTATCCACATGCCCCAAAATTTTAGACATTGTTACAAAACTATATGTTAAAAAGTTTCAAGTCTGGCAGAAAATGTATCTGTAGGCCACCTATTTTGATACTAGGTGTCAGGATATTGCCACCGAGGGCTGGTTCATATGTTCCTCCAGTGGCATGGTTGCTGCCTCTGCATTGCTACGTCACACAACAGTCCAGCAAATGTACGTACCATGGAGACAAAGGATGCTTCTCATGCCAGTACAGTTGCACCTTGGAAGTCGAATGGAATCTGTTCCAGAAATCCGTTCAACTTCCAGAACGTTTGGAAACCAAAGCGTGGCTTCTGATTGGCTGCAGGAAGCTCCTGCAGCCAATCGGAAGCCCCGTTGGACGTTCAGATTCCAAAAGAAGGTTTGAAAACCGGAACAATCAAGCAGCGTTTGGGAGCCAAAACGTCTGTGTTCCAGGGCGTTCGGGATCCAAGGTGTGACTGTACTCTGGGCTCCCAGGGAGGGGGTGCACTGACGCAGAGTGTAACTCTATCCATGCCTTCCATTGGATCTTTTTATTATATATGTTACTGCACTAGTGTGGAAAAAGACTACACTCAAGCAGCAACAAGGTTGATAATGAGATTTAGGATTTGGCCCCAAGAACTTGAGTTAGGCGGTGAATTGAATATTTATTTACTTGCTGTGTACTCAATACCAAATGAACTGAAGAATTAAATCTTCTATCATTGCATGGTGTCAACTTCTCCCTTTTTTCCTGCACAGGAAAACGTTACAATATTGCGGACGTTTCTGCTGCAGTGTGTATGAGCTTGGGCTTAATATGGTTTACTCTAGCTGACAGCACCATTGCACCGAATTTCGACTTAACAGGTAAAATCTTTAATGAAGATTTGTCCTCTGATAGGAATTGATGTGTTTTTGGAGAAGAAAACTGGCGTATCTCCAGCTGAGCCAGGCTGGGGGACGTCCACTGGCATAGGCCAGCTGAGCTGGGAACCTGCTTGGCTGAGCTGGAGATCTGCCATGTCCTAACTCTCTCATCCCAGTGGATCTAGGATTATGGATCTAGGATTAGGACTGTGCCCTAAGAGCCACTGAGAAAATTTCTGTAGAGCTTTTTGGTCCAGTATATCTGAAGGAGCATCTCCACCCCCATCGTTCTACCCGGACACTGAGGTCCAGCGCTGAGGGCCTTCTGGCGGTTCCCTCACTGCGAGAAGCCAGGTTACAGGGAACCAGGCAGAGGGCCTTCTGGGTGGTGGCACCCGCCCTGTGGAATGCCCTCCCACCAGATGTCAAAGAGAACAACAACTACCAGACTTTTAGACGACATCTGAAGGCAGCCCTGTTTAGGGAAGCTTTTAATGTTTAAGGCATTACTGTATTTTAATATTTGGTTGGAAGCCGCCCAGAGTGGCTGGGGAAGCGCAGCCAGATGGGCAGGGTATAAATTATTATTATTATTATTATTATTATTATTATTATTATTATTATGAAGGAGAAATTCCTTGTTGGTTTTACCAAAGAATAAGAAAGAGCTATTTTCATAATGGTTGAAGAGGTCTGGTTTGGAACCCATTCCCCTGAAGTAATACCAGCCAGCCATATACCCCTTTGCATTCTGCTCGCAATATAACAGAATGCGGTACTTTTCCATATTGCATCCTAGCTTTATTTTTTAATTAAAATTTCAATTTTAAATTAGACTTTTCCTGATTATTCAATACTTCACTTGCAGTCAGCCTGGGAATATACTTTCGCATGCAATTTTCTATGTGGAAAATAAAAATTAAAAAGACAGGAAAATGAGTTCTGCAAAGCAGAACCCTTTGCTGAATAGCAGTCGAACTCCACGACCTTTACAAGATGCATACTTAATGAAGCAGGAGACTATGCACTTTGAGGGCAAAGCTGATCCCATATGTCTGTTTCCAAAAAAAAAAAAAAAAGTAAAGCCATCGCTTTCCTTCAATGCTTAATATTACCGCTGGTTTCTACATGTGTGTATTTGCTGTACAAAAAAAGAGATGGTGTTTAGGACTCTGAGTAATTATAAACAGGTTTTTACTTTACTCCCAGAATTTGGGCATGTAATGCAACAGGCTTGTATATTTCTACTTTTATCAGTATTGTTATTATTTTCTTAAGAGAAATGAATTGTCAACCCATTAGGAGATGGAAGGAGGAACATATAACCCGTGGATCCGTACAATAAAGTAGCCTGAACGTGTAGGGATGGTGCCAGGTGTCCTCCCTTTTCTCGGAGGTTTTTGCTTTAACCCCCAGTCTTTATGCACAGCTGCAATGAAGTTTATGTAAACTGCATTTGCTCATATTTCTTATGTTGACCTTGCCTTCCCCCTTCATCTGTTTTGCCACTGTCCAAATTTAAATTCCCTTGAGATAGGGAGTTGGTTTTCTTTCTTCGCTTGTGCTTTAAAGTATTGTGTACATGGATGGTAGGGTGTAGAACATGGGTAGGTATACTAAAGTCCCGGAGGCTGGATCTGGCCCAATCGCCTTCTAAATCTGGCCTGTGGATGGTCTGGGAATCAGCGTGTTTGTACATGAGTAGAATGTGCCCTTTTATTTAAAATGCATCTCTGGGTTATTTGTGGGGCCTGCCTGGTGTTTTTACATGAGTAGAATGTGTGCTTTTATTTAAAATGCATCTCTGGGTTATTTGTGGGGCATAGGAATTTGCTCATTTTTTTTCAAAATATAGGCCGGCCCCCCCACAAGGTCTGAGGGACAGTGGTCTGGTCCCCTGCTGAGAAAGTTTGCTGACCCCTGGTGTAGAACAAATAACGTTTACACTACAGCAGGAAATTCAGTCTGCCAATTCAGATGTCACAGTAAAACCAGGGTTGGGCAACCACCAGTCTGTGGGCCAAATATGACCCACCAGATCATTCCCCCTAAATGGCACCTTACCTGCCCCCCTCCCTGGTGTCATATGTGGGGCAGGTAGAGTGGGAGCTGATTCAGCTACTTGACCAAGTTCCTCGGCTGATAGGTGGCGAGTTCAAGCCTGCTTGGTTTGGCTGCAGAAGTTATCCACTGGGAACCTGTGCATGCAGCTGATCCCCACAGAAAGCAGGCTTTAATTCCCTCCCTCTCAGCTGATGGGCGATGGAGTTTAAGCCTGCTGATCGGCAGCACTTTGAAACACTGTGCAAACCTTGTGTAGTGCCGTGAAGTCACTATTTTCCTGCAACCCCGTGGACCACCTTTAACAGGTTTGTGGGATAACTCACCTGATGTCATTATGATGGGTGGAGATGCCCACTTGTCAAAATTTGGTAGCAAAGTGGGGGAATATGAAGAACCTAAAGGTTATCCACCCTTGCACTGACTTATAGTTTAGCATGATATGAACAAATCAAAACAAGCCTTGAGGTTAAACTCTGCCCTTTGTCCCTCCTCCACAAGGAATTCAGAACTGTTCAATTTTGTTTCTGCTTAACTGTGGCTTATTGCATTGTCAACGGTGGCTAATGTTAACATCACAAGTCAACATCAAACCTAAGCAAACGCTTCAAAACTCTTCCTTGTAATTGTGTGAGCAAGGAGCACAGAATGCAGTTTGATCTCATCACTACGCTATGGTTTTGTTGACATCCCAGTACGGCCGTTGTGTTCAAATTTGCCTTGGGTCCTGCTAAAAAATTATGTGTCTCGAGCAAAATGTTGTGCTGTCACTGTGCTGAAATAAAGTTTTCATAAGTCAGTCACAATGTCAAGTTCTTAACTTGCCTTGCAGTGCATGCAGCCCTATTCCTGGTCACTAAATAATATTAGATTTCCTTTCACTAGTTTATAATCAAATTGTTGTGGAAGCATTTACACTCAAGCTTGTATTATTCTTAGCTGAAGCATTTTTTGAGTTGCATAATTTAATCAAAATTCTTTAAACATTCACATTGTCAAGGGCAAATCTATTTACATGTGACAGCTTTTGCCCAAGGAGACAAAACTGAGCTTTGAGGTTAAACGGAACTTGTAATTTTTGCTGATACAAATGTTAGAAACATAAAAACTGAGTGAATTTAAAGTATTGGCTGTGTGAACAGTATCACCCATATTGTGTCCATCAAAGACTGGAAAATTAGATTTAAGGCTCTTTTAATAGTATTGAAGAACATGGTAAGCGATGTTGTGTAAAAATGGGGAAATATAATAAGCCTAAATATGCAGCAATACAGATTCTGTTAATTTTATTAATTAATTGATTTGATTGATTTAAAATGTTTAAATGTTGTTGCACGTCAAGCAGTTGTTGCTTTCTTTGCTATCTGGAAAGAATATATATTGCAAAGTATATCCCTCTAAATGTTTGTCTTCCCTTCTGCTTCCCCCCCCCTCAAAATGGAGAATATGGTTGCTTTTGTGTTGTTCTTTGTATCATATGTAAAAAGCAGGTCTTACACAGATTTTAATAGTGCAGAGAATAAGAGAACGTATAACCCTTGTTTTCTAAACTCCAATCAGGAGTGCCAAATTGGCCCCATGGCCCTGGCACAGAATTTTGTGGGTGCTCGGCCCCTTCATGGGGAACTTTGTGGGCGCTCAGGCACCCAGGGCCCCAGGAAGTTGGCACCTATGACTCCAATAGGTCTACATCAGAAGAACCATGGGCAATATTTATTTGTGGCATCCCACTTGCACAAATGAGACAATTCCAGTTTTGGTGAGGAGGAGAGAGAGTTTGATCTGGCAGGCAAAAACGCTTGCACTGACAGAACAATTGCCTTAGTGCAACACTGAATTCTATGCATAATGTTAGAGTATGTGCCTATTGCTTTATTTTATGTTATGTCCTTTTCTGATTCCTTAAAGGTGTGGTCCTTATATCCCTTGCCCTCTGTGCAGACGCCGTTATAGGAAACGTGCAGGAAAAGGCTATGAAGTTGCACAATGGCTCCAACTCTGAAATGGTAAATGTTCCCCTTCTATAATTTCATTCAGTTATGGGAGCTGTGGGGTGGAGTTCTGTTCTATTTCTGTCTACTATTTTAAGTCGGTCAGCCATGATTAAAAAATGTGCATTGCACTGAACACATAGGTGATCTGAAAACATCACAAAAACATCGAGGAATGGGGTAGGGCAGGGGTGGAACAGAGTGTTTTCGGGCTTTGTTAACGGTGTTTCAAATATACGTGATTTCACTTTAGAGTGCGGTGCCTCGGAACATAACCCCCACATAAATGGAGGGTTGCCTGTACAGGAATAGTCCTGTCTGGTTGTTGCCAATAGTAAACATTTGTTGCTCTGGCCTAAGTTAATGGCAAGAGAAATTGTGAATTTAAAAATAAGAGACCGGAGCACAACTTCAGACAGAGTTTTATTAAAAATTAAAAGATTTGTCTTCACAGCCAGCAACTACTGCTGTGTAAATTTGGTAAGACCAATGCACGCAATTGCCATTTAATTCATGATAACTGTAACTATCACTCAGAACATGACTGTATAAAATGGCAGATCTGTTAACCAGAGAATCACCTTGTAAGTGTATATCAATTGCCAGTTGAGGCGTGTTTATCAAGCAAGTCACTCAGAAGCTAATATCTGAGGTTATTGCCTGTATTATACTTGAAAAACGTAACTTTCAAAAGAGATTACATTCTTCCAGCAAAGAGATGTGCTAATAGAGCGCACAATATATATGGCGTTTTAAAAATACCACAAGATTAAAATAATTTGTTTTTGTAACTATTCCAGGTTTTGTATTCCTATTCAATAGGTTTCCTGTATATTTTATTGGGACTGACATGCACTAGTGGCTTAACCCCTGCAGTAACATTTTGCTCAAAGGTAAATAATTTTTTTCCATTAAAAAAGTGTGATTTTCCCACCATTCATGTGCTGTTAGATTATTTTTGACCAAATCACATTACTAGGCTTTGCATTCCTGCTTGAACATTTTTTTTATAATGCTTTGATGATTTTCACTGCACTTGATACTTTTCTTATGAGTTGGTGGTTTATAAATACTGCAAGAAAGAAAGGTGCATTAAAGTTGATTCTGTGATCCACTGACTTGGGTATTTGTACCCAGCCTCATCAGAAATTACTTTTATTCTTCAAAAAGTCCAGGAGTAATTTTTTTATCATTTCATTATGACTTTTCTCAATTTTCCAATAAGAATAAATAAAATCCTGACTGATTTAAGATTTAGTTACTTTTGTTCGGGCAGTTGATTAAAGGCATTTGTTTCATTTTGCGGTACCTCGGGGTTGTTTTGCATCTTCCTCCGTTTAATATTTTGTCTTGTTCCTGCAGCACCCAGTTCAAACATACGGCTACGCATTCTTGTTCTCCTTGACTGGCTATTTTGGAATCTCTTTTGTCCTAGCCCTGATTAAAATCTTTGGAGCTCTTTTAGCTGTGACAGGTACAGTTCATTTTTTTAGTTCATATTTTAATATAAGAATTGAATAAAAAATCCTGATTTGGGATAAAGCTTGTACATTATTCTTGCTCTGTCTCCTGTTCTTTTGTTCTGTGAATGGTTTAATGGGTTCATGTGGTGAGGGGTAGCGTGTCTTAGATTGTTTTGATCCAATGCTTTCACCTACAAGACTGCTTGCGCAAATACATAGATCATTGCAGCAGAGGTAAATGTCACCTTCCACACATTTGCAATTCAAAAATGCACGGCAGATATGTATTAAATGGAAAAGAAATGTGTATAAAAGCAAATGAGGTAGAGAAAAAGAAATGATTAAATTATAACATCTCTAAGCTCCTTGACTGTAAATTGGGGAGGGGGGGGAGTGTCTTTCATTTTTCCTTACTTCAACAGGATTCCAATTATATACGAATAAGAATTCTGTCAATTCAGTAGCATTAAAGCATTACATTCACTGCTCAGTTATACAGGCATGACAAATATGTTCTCCGAATCAATACTGAAAATAATTTGGTGGTGGGTGGGACCAAATATTAACCTTAGAAAGGGGGTGGGGTGAGAAGCTCTAGAAGGATCCTAGACCCATCTATCAAGCAGATAAAAGTCTTGGTTTGGTTAAAAAAAGGGAGGGGGATAAGATATTAAGCTTTATCTTTTTCTCTCTAAACCTTAATAAAATTTATTTTAGAAAAATTCATCAAACAGATTTCTGGGGCTAGTCTTTGTATATTAAAAGCACATGTTGCCTTACTTTAAATCCACATCCAAGAATTTTCCCTGATAGCATTGTAGGCTTGGAAAGAATGATCAAGTGACCCACATTGGACCAGATTGCACTGGTGAGGAGATGGGTCTTTTGGCCTTGTACCCTATAGTCCAGCGGGCAGGGGGATGTTTCCACTTGCCTGGAAACATTTCCAGGCATGTTTAGGTCCAGAGGCAAGGAGTCTGTGTCTGCACTAGGACAGAGAAGGTGAAAAGGATTATTTACCCCCCTACTCCAAGATGTTGGGCCCCATCAGCCCCCGCTGGCATGGCCAGTGGTCAGGGCTCATGGGTGGTGAGGTCCAGACACATCGTGAAGAGCCACAGGATCTCTAATTTCTGCACTAGGGTCTTGGTCCTAAGCCTTCCCTGGAAGCAGCTGTATATGCAAACCCATTTAGAGAGGAGTGTGTCAGCAAGAATAGAAAGGGTTGCCATCTGCCTGGTTGTTTCTGAAGGCTGTTGCGGTCACTTTGACTGGTGCCAGTGCCAAGCATGCTGCAGTATAGTTGTTTAAATGGCACACAGGCCAGTGCTTCATATTACTTTTCCATTTGTCCAGCAGAGGATGCAGTTTTGGCAGCTATACAAGTCTCCACTTTTATACCACAGCAGCTAAAGTGTGGGATTAGGCTGCCCAATTGTCAGCCTTCATTGAGCCCTGCCATTAGGTAAATGCAGTTAAGAGACCTGGAAAAACAATGCTTTTTTATTTTTAAAAATTGCATAAATAGGAGGAACAGTCTCCTCCTCTCCAATTAAAGTCAGGTTCCCCTTTTCATTCTAGCAACAAACACCTGAATAACCTTGGACAAATCGCTTCACCTTCTCGTGCCTCCATTTTTCATTTTTTATAAAATGGGAATAAAATATTTAACACATCCATAAAGAAGTGCTTTGGCTATCCATTGAAGAAGAAGGGGGGGAAAGTTCTGTGTTACTGCTGCGTATTATTTCATTGCAGGGGATTGTGGCAGAATGAGACAGATATACGGTATGGTGAAAGGCTGATAAGACGCCCTATAAAAAAGGCTTCATAACTACAAAATCTTCTGCTCAAGCCGAAGACTGACAGGCAGCCTGAGCAACATAATTTGCTGACCTTGTTGTGCCTGCAGGGGAATTCCAGCATGCACAGTCATAGACCCTGTGAAGTCTGCTTGGGTGTATAGATGCCTAAAGGTGCTGTGAACGAGGAGCTTGCCATGGGCTGGAGCTGTAGTAACCAGCCAGCGATGCTGCAAGATTTATTAGAGCAACCGATCCAGTTGATAGATTGATCATCTGCCTTTTTTCCCAGTTAATCAGTTGAATCGGTTAGACAGTAGGTGCCATTTTGAGATACTGAAGGAAGGAAGAGACTTGCAGTTTACAGTGGTACCTCGGGTTAAGTACTTAATTCCTTCCGGAGGTCCATACTTAACCTGAAACTGTTCTTAACCTGAAGCACCACTTTGGCTAATGGGGCCTCCTGCTGCCGCCGCGCTGCCAGAACACGATTTCTGTTCTCATCCTGAAGCAAAGTTCTTAACCTGAAGCACTATTTCTGGGTTAGCGGAGTCTGTAACCTGAAGCATATGTAACCCGAGGTACCACTGTATTATAGAACCAAACCTTACCACTCACAGTTAGGCAAACTACCTTTAATGCATTTAAAAAAAAACAAAAAAACCCTATTGCAGTTATGAATCATGATCAAAACAAGCATAAAGCATAACTGGAAACCTCACCAATGACAATGTACTCTTGTCAATTAAAATTGGTTCCCCATTGATTAAGCAACTAAACCTTTTGCTGACTGATCCACAAATTTAAAGCCCGTGTTATGTAGTTAGACACAAGAGATCCCATGCAATGATTTTGGTCTCTCTGGTTCCTTTTCTTCACCACCTCTGGGTGACCATGTATCCCAAAAATTTGGGACCCCTTTAGAAGCACCTTCAAGCATTGCACATCATCATGCCAGCTGAGAGAGCCTGCCATGAGAGCTTTCTTCCAGCATTGGATCAGAGCTCTAGATCAAGCAGATCTTTTGTGTGTCTCTTTTTTAAGAAAAGGGTTATGGTTTTTATATTGTGACTGCAGCCTGGTGAATGTTGATAAAGTTATTATTGGAATAACTTTACCTTGATGCTTTGCCGTTACATAGACCGCGCACTGTGGCAGATGTAAAGCAGCACCCATGTGGCCACCAGCCCTCTAAATCCAGAGAAGATTAGTAAAAAATCAGATGTGAAAACAGTAGAATAAGTTGGTGATACCTAACTTAAATGCCATTCATTCTGATGGAGCTGAAGTGCAGCTAACTTTCTCTGTATTGGGGGCCATGATGTCAGTCTATTGCAAGTAAATGCAAGCTGCAGTAAGGCATGAGGTTGTAATTACCGCATTTGCCATCCTTTGCATGATGCTTCTGTTCTGGTGCATTGAAACTGTATTTTAGTTGGGATGGAACTAATGTTTTAATGGACTTGTTTTCCTTCAGTCACAACAGGAAGAAAAGCAATGACAATTGTACTTTCTTTTCTGTTTTTTGCAAAGCCATTTACATTCCAGTAAGTATCCATCTACACGTATTGACTTTAATTAATACACCTAATGTATGTAATGTTGTGATTTAAATGTAATCACCGAACGCATCCTATAAAAAAATTTGATAATTTATGGCCCACCTGCAGGGATTTTTTATTTATTAATTATTTTCCACTTGTATCCCACCTTTCCTCCATGGAGCCCAAGGCAGCAGAGATGGCTCTCCCATTCTCCATATTGTCCTCACAACGATGTTGAGGGTTAGTGACTGGCCCAAGGTCACTGAACTTCCTGGTCAAGTGGGGATTTGAACTCTGGTCTCCCAAGTCCTAATCCTGCATTCTAACCACTACACCCCATAAGCAAGCCTATGCTTTGCTACACCCACAGTGGGATTTCTGTTTTTGTTCCGTCCTTGACTCGTGTGGGGTGCATGAGCTTAAGACATGAAGAACAGAAGCAAGAACAGAACTAAGGGGCACTTGGATAAATTAATTTGATACATGGCTATAAGTGGGAGGTTGTTAATTGTTTGGCAGAAACCCCAAAATTATATGCCATCACAAACGTAAACGGACTTTTAAAATGAATTAAGGCCCCACCCAAAGAAGATGTGTGCTTTGTTATGTGTTCAGGAGCCAGCGTGGTGTAGTGGTTAAGAGCGGTGGACTCGTAATCTGGTGAACCGGGTTCGATTCCCCACTCCTCCACATGCAGCTGCTGGGTGACCTTGGGCTAGTCACACTTCTCTGAAGTCTCTCAGCCCCACTTACCTCACAGAGTGTTTGTTGTGGGGGAGGGAGGGAAAGGAGTTTGTTAGCCGCTTTGAGACTCCTTAAGTGAAAGGCGGGGTATCAAATCTTCTTCTTTTCCTAATCAGTCTTCACCGGGGTTGATAATGTTTGCCCACCTCTCCACCAGGTACGATGGGGGGGGGGCACTCAGTTGCTCTCCATACAGAGATGGAGCTGAAGAGCCCTCCCCCCCCCATAGAGAGCCGCCTCTTTTTTGTGTGTGTGGCATCCTTCCTTCCAAGACCCATACACAGAAGGCAGGCAGTGCTTATTGTCACTAACAATAAACCTTTATAGGTATAGCAGCGAAGTGTGCACCCAATTTTTAGAGCAAAAACAAGTCCTAACTCTCACAAAATTTGGAAAACGCACATTTTGTAATAGCAGTGAACTGACGTGTGAAATAAATGGAAACCTTGGTTTCGGAGAGAATACAAATCGAACTTGCTATATGGAAATTAGAAGATGCATTATAAATCTTAGACTCATAGGTTGGAAGGGACCACAAGAGTCATCTGGTCCAACCCCTTGCAATGCAGGAATCTTTTGCCCAACATGTGGCTTGAACCCACAGCCCTGACATTAAGAGTCTCAGCTCTACCGACTTCAGCTACCGAGGCAGATGAATACTTACGGAAGCTAATTTTTTCGGTCTACCATAATCCTCCACCCCTTTACAAATTCAATTTTAAATTCTGGGACTACTGCTTTGCTTCCTACAAGACCCTTGCCATACATACATACATACAGTTGCTAATGTGTTTCTCCACCCCTCTTTCTCCATTTTAGGTACGTGTGGTCAGGCTTGCTGGTTGTCCTTGGTATATTCCTCAATGTTTACAGCAAGAACATGGATAAACTCAGACTCCCTTCAGTGCGCAGTCTCTGGAATAAATGTACCGAAGAAAAACAGACAAGGACGTTGTCTCAAACGGTGTAGACAGTGGCTTGCGCCGTGTGTTGCGCTGGACTGTTTGTTTCTGTTACTCCATTGCAATAGTCTCCAGCTGACTCGTTTTCCAAAGGGAATGACACTAAAACCAAAGGAGTCAAAGGCATTTCGTCGACTTGCAGATGGCGAACATCAGCGTCTCTGTGAAAACCCTCTCTTGGAAGCTCTCGGGTCTCATCCTGTGTGGGGGCCCGGTCTGGATAATGGCATTTGACGATGGGCTCTGAGGGACAGTGGTTCTTGTGTGAGCTGTTGAAATCTTCACTCCAAATAGGGCACATAGGAGAGGGCGTGTGTGATTAATTTGGGCATTTTAATTGCTGCTGCTCTTGAAATCAAGTGGGTCTTTGTGTTTTATTGTTGGGATCAGTTTATTTAAATGTAACACTGTTTTGAAACAAGATAGAAACTAATCAGAACCTGATTGACTAAACTGAAAGGTTAAGCCGACGAGGTTTTAATTATTATGCCATAACTTTTTTATTTTTTATTTTTTTAAAGAAAAAAGTCTTAAAGCTTCTATTCCCATTGTTTTTGGTATTGAAGGTTTTCTTCTGAAGGAAAAAGCAAAATGAAATTCTCTTCAAGTGGATGGCTTTGAGACACGTTTAAAGGAACCAGCCTCCTGTCTATGCATTTTCTCTCTCTCGTTGATTCGTAAGGAATGATCCTTCACATTAAAGTATCAAGAAGGTCTTAATGCACCGGACAACGCATTTCCTTGCTACCTCTCCATATTGTAATGAAATGAGTGGGACCTAGGAAAGTAGCTAAAAGAGTGGAGGATGGATTACTTTGATTATTGCATATTGTAATTAGCTTAGAAATGGGCTCGTTCAGTGGAGCGCTTTCTATACTGTGCACTTTAACAAATTCTGTGCCATGAAAAGCTGAATTCTGCAACGTGAATAAATTCTGCACATATGTGTATTTGCTTGTTTTACATTCTTCCTTTTGCTTCTGCAAATCATGGGGAACTATAGTTCTGTAGAATGTTCGTGCCAAACTTTTACCTGTTACTTAGCTTTCCCTTTTAACTTCTTAACACATTTAAGCCTATATATAGGCTTAGGAGCTAGAAGTTTCTTTTAAAGAAATATGAAAATTCTCAGGGTGCTGAATGCTGCACATAATCCCGGTTTTCACTTCCTTGGGTTGCAACTGAAAAATATAGGCAATCCTGACATTGGTTTATAATCTCATGAGCTGTTACAGTCACTTCTGTACTGTATACAGATATTCAAAACAGGTATGGTTTTGTCTTTTACCAGATTCTTTTCTTCTTAGCTTATGCCAGAGATGAGGAACCTATGGCTTTCCAGTTGTTCAACTACAGATCACATAAACCCTCACCATTAGCCATGCTGGTAGGGGCTGATGGGATATGGAGGCCAGAAAAACTGGAAAGCCACAGATTCTCCAACTCCAAAAGGAGAAGATGACATTTTGTGTCTGCATGAAGCCACGTGAAGCTATTTACATAGATGTGCATTCGTATCGAGGTTAACAATCGAGGTTAACCATTAACCATCTTGAGAGTTGTTTTAAACTCTTAGAGAGAAGTGGGAGACTCTGAAACCTGAAGAACTCAACTGGAGGTGTGTGCAAACTAACAAAAGGTTTTACAAGGCACCCCCAACAACTCCACAAAAGAGGAACAAAATAGAAACAGATGTATTCAGAGCAGACCCTAGAAAAGGTAGACATTTGAAGTATGATGTACCAAAACAAGCACATATGTTGTAACCTTTTATTGATCTGTCTCCTGCCTTCAAAAGGGATTGATATGTATGCATTTGCAAAGTGAAACAGCCAGAAATCTCTAAATATACACAGATAAGAACTACTCGCCGCTGTGCATTCTCTACAGTACTTCTCATTATGTAGGGGTTAGACCTTTAGCCTCAGCTGTCACTGAATGGCCTACTTTTTTACATATAAAAATGTAAGATATTCATTCCAGAATTGTAATTCCCAACACACGTAGACTTGTAGTAGCAGAGAGCCAGGAATGACTGCAGTTCACTGGGGTGCCTACATACAGTGGACAATACATGCTGAATATTGAATGTGTGATATAACCATCACTATTTTCTTTACCCAGAAAAAGGGGGGTGGGAATCATCTTTAAAATGGCAAATAAGACTAGGTCCTTGTGAAGAAGATTCAGACTGCTACATTAAAACACTCTCTTTATTCCATCCCTTAGTTGCTGCCTTACCATGTCCAAGGACAAATAGGGAAAGCTTGTCCCTGAAATAATGTAGGTAATGGATGGGCTGCCAGTCCTTCCTGCTGTGGCAATTTTGAGAGGATGATGTGTTATACAGCACCTTATTTGCTGTTGTGATGAGCTTTAGACGTCTCCCATTATTTATTGCACAAGACAGAGGAAATAGTAGAGGTCACGCAAATCAGATGAAGGGGCAAATGGGAGAAGAGAGAGACGAAGAATATCAGGTATTTTCAATAATGGGCTAAAAAGCGAGGGGAAAGAAATGGTAATAGATTACCATTGCACCACTATCTCTTAAAAGTTCTTTTTTAAGATGAGAAGGATCTTTAATTATCTTTCCTGCAGCAGATACCCTGCCCACCTGCCAAGGTGTGCTTTTTAGAATTTTGAACAGAGGAACTGGTGAAACGGAAGTTTGAACCCAATCAATGTAACTTTTTAAAATAAAGAGTAAGGAAATAGACTGTTTGCTGGTGGGGGAGACAGGAGACGCTTCCTTTTTGTTTTTATATGGAGTAGATGGTATGAAGTCCATCGTTCTCTGACAGTTTATTTACCTGTATCCAGGTCTAGCTCGGCAACATAGTCTGGGCTGATGTCTTACAAGTGTGAGTGGTCCACTGTAAATCTCTTGTTCATTGTTCATCTATTATCATCTATTGTTCATCTATTATCACAGACCTTTCCTGATGATGCTTTTTACTGTAACCATCTCAAATAGCAGCCAAACAGAGTGTGTACAGTTAAGAAGTCTCAAAAAAAAACCACAAGTGATGTACACACATGCAGAGAAACAGCCCAGTTAATCTTGCTATAGATGGAATTTAACTCCTGGAATAACTATATATACAAGTATAGCTCGAATTGCTAAGTGTTTGCCACTGGATTCTTCCTCACTCCCACCCACCCATCACAAGTCACTAATACTTTGTGAATTGTTCAGCTGTGAATCAGTTTTGGGTCTGCAGCAATTTAAGTAAGAGAGCCTTCTGCTCAACTACTTGTTACACTGATTGCTAGACCCTCTGGCCATTCCATGGTGGGCTGGATTCCTTGTGGTAGTTCTGTGGCAAGGGTAGCCAACATGTATTTGTGGACTAAAGGTATCATCAGCTCCAGCCAGCATGGCCTCCTATCTTGGATGATGGCAGATACAGTCCATAGTTTTAGGAGAGTACAGCATTGGCTACCCCTGTTCTGTGGAACTGAGCCCATACTGTGCAAAGGAGCAGCTGTTGAGCATTGAATTCAGCCCCCTCATTGTTTTTATGATGTTTGAAATAAAATAAGAATATCACACTCATCTGTGAGGGGAGACAGTTTTCCAAATGTTAGAAATCCAGTTTCTATAGATATCTTGATTTTTCCTGTGTTGACTCTTGGCTATTGTGCTGATGGTCCTGAGGGTGGGGTATTCTACTGCTTCATCGAAAGAGAGAAAGCTTTTATATTTTGCTAAGCCAAAAGATAACACTTAGCATTTGGCAGCTCATGCCATTAAGAGACAATTTATTGGCAGGGGGAAGAACAGTACCTTCTCCCTGTCAGCACTTTGACTATACATGCCATGAAGTTTAAACAGATCAGAACTGATGAGAAATGTTATGTTCCTCTTGCTTTAAGTGGAGGCTTTCATGCACGAAAGATGAATGAATATGAATATTCACAGTTGGAGACACAAACACCATTTTTCATTTCCACTAATAACTTTGGATCCACAATGAGGCTGGGTATCAAGAAATCCAAAGGTGGCCTCCGTGGTGGCAAAGGAGTCGTATTGCAACCAAAAATACAGCAAAGTACTCTTAGCATGTGACAAATTTGTGAAAAAAATGTTTAGCATCCAAATCTAAAGAGGCTCAAAGTTTTGAGTGTTGAAGCAGAAACTGCGGTAAGACTTGCCAATGATTTATGTTTTCTCGATAAATATATATAGCCTATCCTACTGTTACTTTATAGAGACGCGGGTGGCGCTGTGGGTTAAACCACTGAGCCTAGGACATGCCAATCAGAAGGTCGGCGGTTCGAATCCCCGCGACGGGGTGAGCTCCCGTTGCTCGGTCCCTGCTCCTGTCAACCTAGCAGTTCGAAAGCACATCAACGTGCAAGTAGATAAATAGGTACTGCTCCAGTGGGAAGGTAAAGGGCCTTTCCATGCGCTGCTCTGGCCACATGACCCGGAAGCTGTACGCCAGCTCCCTCGGCCAATAAAGCGAGATGAGCGCCACAACCCCAGAGTCAGCCACAACTGGACCTAATGGTCAGGGGTCCCTTTACCTTTACTGTTACTTAATAACTAATTAATATACTGAGTACTACCAAAACAGGCTTTTAAGTGGTTTACATGTGTGAAATCCAATGATGCAAGCATGAAAGTATATTCATCACTAATTAAAACGCATAATAAAACAAGCCCTGTAAAGGGGGGGGGACATAGCAATTAAGAGAGTCAGATCAAGAGTCAGGGGAATGTAAACAGGAGCATCTTCAAAACCCAGTGGGATTCCAATGCAGATGAGGCCTCTCTTACTTCCTCAGGCAGTGTATACCATAACACTGGTGCCAGAAGTGAAAAGTACTGCCTCCGTGTCACCACAAGTTGTTGTTGTTGTTTAGTCGTGTCCGACTCTTCGTGACCCCATGGAGCAGAGCATGCCAGGCACTCCTGTCTTCCACTGTCTCCTGCAGTTTGGTCAGACTTATGCTAGTAGCGTCTATAACTCTGTCCAACCATCTCGTCGTCTGTCGTCCC